AGGGGCTGGAGAGGCAAAAAATGGCCTGCAAAAGCAATTAAGTGTCACAGAGACATTTGGATTTGAAAACAACAGAAGATTGTTTACTGACCTGTTTACTCCTGACTGTGAATACTCTGCTCCAGGTACATCAGGAATCTGAGCAATCCCCAGCACTCTGACACGTTTGTTGCTCTGCTGAGACTCTGTAGCACTCACACACTTCCCACCGGCACCACTGTGGAGATGGCTTTCCTGAGGCTTTCTGCTCCAAATTATAACCTCCAGTCATATGGGGAACACACTCATCAAACAAATACAACCTTCAGAGCTGATCTCCATCCTGCACCCGCTTGTTTTGTGTGCTCCCATTATCCCACACACTCCCACACCACGGTTTTTTTCTCTCTGGTAAGACCACAGCCAGACCACAGGCTTTACTGCTAGAAAATCCTCATGAGTTCAGGATTCAGACAGTATGGGGGACCTACCGCACTTACCACCACCTTGCAACCACTGCTCACCCCAGGAAGGCTGGCACCCTCAGTCACCAGGAGGGGAGCTAACTCCCCACTGCGTTTGTCCCAGGTCCAAGAGCTAAGCTGTACTTTTCAGACATAGAATAACAACTCTCCCTTTAAAAGCCAGCCACGTAGAACTGGATAGCCCAAGAAAGCAAGCTCCTGCAGTAGGAGAGCCCTATGCCAGTGGGCTGTGGCAGCCACGGAGCTTTCCCACTGCTCCTGAGGTGAGGTGAGAGGGGTTTTCGTGCTGCTCCCTCCCCCAGGCATGGTGAGGGCCCTGGGCTCACACCTGGCATGACACCACCAGACATCCACACCTGATATTGGAGGGATGGAGGTGCAGGGAAGCCCAGCCTACACCGCTGCTCCTTCAATCCCAGTTAACGTCCCATCCTTGTGAGGCAGGGCTGCTCTGTGTAACTGGGAGACTACTTAATGGCTTCTGGCAGAGGCAGCATCCACTGGACCATGCCACAACTCCCCCAGGCAAGGGCAGACCAGCCACCAGGGCCTCCTCCACTCACTGGCACGAGGTCTCACCACATCTGCAGAAGTTGTTTTGATCACTCTGTGTGAGAACTAAAATCAGAAGGACAGAAGATCATAAGTGCTCCATTTTTGGTTGTTTGTTGGTTTGGGTTTTTAAAAACATTTATTGGGACGTAAGTCTAATGCCTAAGATTATCTAGTATTTAATTTTTATCTCTGAATATATATACATTGCCTATGGATATAACAGAAACACACAATAATGAAACTATGACTTATTTACCTGCTGGGGGAATGCTAATGAGTGTTCTAGCAATGAAAATGCCTTCACTAGTTTATAAAATGCAAAACAGCAGGGAACTCACTGGAGACCCCACAAGCATATGTCAATAAACTTATATTATTCACAAGTACACAAGCCTCCTAAGACACCAGTTTCCCAGCCCCCTTTAATTTCCTGACTGTTCCTGACTGTCTCACGTTTTGAACAAAGTCAAAGACTAATTTTCTGTCTTCCTCAGGCCTCTAAAGTTTTTGCAGAAGCCAAATAATCATATGAAAATTGTTCCATTCAGATGCAAACTGAATATTTTATTGGCTAATTCTTCATAGTATCCAATCTACATCTATTACAATGTGCAATAGCAGTACAGAACAATTGTATCTATGACCATAAACATTTGAACATAAATGACATTTTACCAGAGTGCTCTATCAGTGCAGACGCAGCACTGATACAGTGTGCTCTCATTCACAGTGGTGCTGTTCTGTTTCTCTCCTTTGCATCAATCCTGACAATATTAACATCTGTAACAATCACTAACCAGTCTCATTTCAACACTTCCAGTGTACACTGCCAAGCTCTGTAGCACGTTACAAGTAAAACAGAAGGTGCTAATCCCCATCAAAGTTGATTGTTCAGCTAAAACTCAGATCAGTGTTAGGACTTTAACAAAAAAAAAGACACATTAGAATACAAGTCCAGGCATCTGTTGCCATAAAAATATTGTGATTGTTGTATTTCATATCCCCCCTTCATTGTAAATCCACTTTGCATCCTTTATAACAGCCAGCCTACCCTCAGAAAAAATTATTTGATGCTCCTATAGATGTCGTATGTGCCCTCTACTTTTACAGCACTTCTATTGTAATTCAACATTAATTATCTTTCCAATTAATGTACTACCTAATGCTGCAATATGAAATGCTCACATTTTGTAAATGAGAAAATTGAGCTCCGTTCCGTCTGCTTTGATCCCATCTTAGTTTTATTCAGTACCAGATTTTTTTCTGGTTTGGGTTGGGTTATTGACACTGAACACACACAAGGGAGTATTTACATTTTTCTTTTCAGAAGACCTCCAATTTATCTTTTTCAATATCATTGTAATATACTTTCCTGACATACAATTGTTACTGAATAGCCTATAAGGGAAATGGAGGTGACAGAAGTCCTAATAGAGCAGCACTTACCAGTTACCATAAATGTAGACATCATAAATACCTACAACTGCTGGAAAACGGTAACTGCAAAGCAGATCACAAATGCAGAAAAAAGTGAAACCAAAACCGTGGTCAGAGAGTGAAAAAACCCTCTTCTTTAGAAGCTGAATGATCCAAAATATTCCTTAAATGTTGTGTGTCAAAATTACCATTCAAAGTTTTACTGCTGAGTACCATAATAAAAAAACGTAAAAGCTAAAATACAGAGAGAGTATAAAATATAGAAATGGAAAATACATATACAAAATTGCTCCCTGTATTTATAACTGAAAGAATATATGAGTGGTGATTTTCCACAATGAGGAATGTAATGTTTATGTTTTTTGGTTTAGCTGCTGTCAACAGCAATCTTTGTGGGCTGCTTGATTTGACCTCCAATGCCACCATCTCAAAGCACTTCACAGTGTTCTTTCATCCTGAATGTGCCAAAGTGCCTGAGGAAGGTACAAATTCTCCCTTTCCCTGGTGACATTATGTTTAGCTTTCTTCCCTGTTACTCCACCACATCATTTTAAACTGAACCAAACCTGCCACACAAAGAAAGTTGCAGAAAAATCAGTCAGCCCTTATGCCCACTAGTCTTACACAGGTTCTTTAATGCTTATCACTAGTGGCAAGTAGTGAGTACGTGAATATGCGTGGAGAAGAACTTGCAGATCAGACTGAAGGAATTTTAGGATGTCACCTATAAAATATTCCCTCAGATAGCTAAACAACCTCATTTTAAATAACATTGCTGGTCAAAAAGTCTATTTTTAAGAGTACATTTAACAGCAGTTTATTTAGAACCTTGAGATAGGATCTCCTCTTGAACTGCCTTGGAATACTTCATTGTAATCTGAGACTTTAAGGGCACAGCTTGGCTATTACTGATCTCTCAGTAATGAAGACAACCTACTTCAATAGGAAGTAGTGCTCCTGTTTCAACATCATCCTTGACCTAAGCATTTTGAACTTACTTTTGTTAATTGCTTAGCAATGATCTTGACCTACTGCTGTAGCAGGTACAGCTGAGGCAAATAGCCATGCAATGATGCTGCTTTTTCCAGTGCCTATGTAAAGGTTATAGGGAACCTCAGAATTGTTTTGAGATAACTTTAGCAACCTGAAACTTTGTTTTGTATTAACCCACCTCATTCTGATGATGATTTGATTTTGTGATTTCCATTTAGCTCTTCCTATTTAGCTCTTCCTATCCTCACTGGTGCCTCACTTAAGGTTTACTTAAATGGCCAATATTAACAGCTGTTAATTTTGAAAAGTACTTCACATCTGCATTGATCCTTCCTTCCCACTATGTGAATGACAGTCTTTGGGACTCTGGCATCTTAGCTAGTCAGCCTAAAGGACCAACAGCTGAAGGGTTTTTGCACCCTCAATATGCTGCACACAATTGTCATTACTGCAATAAACACAGCTAGAATGGGAGAAGAAAATTAAAAGGTAATGTACCAGGAAAGACAGAAAACCAAGATTTTGTAGAGACCTGAATAAAAAATGACGAGATGTTCCAAACTATGCACTGAAGTTAAGCTGTCTTAATCATTCCCATCACTGGCAGACTTTTAGAAGGGGATTGTCATCAGCATTGAATGGCTGAGAGTTTGTTGTGTTTACCATCAGCTAACAAAGTGTGCAGCAGAAGGTCTCATGGAGTCCATTTGTATCAACACCTCAAGTACCCAATACCTGAGTTTTCAGCCTGGCTAAGGTACATTCTTTACCCAATATACCTGTAACAAACAGTCCTTCTGCCAAGTCACCTACCAGAAGTAAGTATTTATCAGAGAAAATCTAAAACTATGAGAGGAAAGACTGTAACCTTTTCTACTGGCTAAATTACCAACCGTATGTGCATTACACACATATTCTTTTTCTGAGTACTTTTTCCCTTGTATTCCTAATTTTTGAAGATAAAGAAGTGTCTCTGGTGGGGAAAACAACCAGCTGCCAAAGACTGGTGTTTAATCAGCCTCACAAGTGAAAGTTGCACCCTAAAAGGGCAGAGACCATTCAGTGTTAAACTGTCTTGTGCACACTGGTCTTCTGGATTCACCAAAGGACAGTCATTCTGCTTTGGACTGTGACACTTCAAAGCTCCCAGGCAGACATGCAGGAAAAATCCACATCCTGCCTATGAGACCATACAGACTACAGTTAGGCATAAAGTAACCCAAGCAAAAACAGGCAAACCCAGACAACCCAGGAAAAGGCTCCATTTCCAGTGATCTCACACTGTCAGAGGAAAGAAAAATAATATTGCTGAAATGGGGAGAAAATTTTCACCACTGAGTTCCTTTACTTTTTTCTTACATTTGTCAGCACACAGAAAGTAGCAAAAGACAACTACAAAACCTTCTGAAATTTCATTTTACACTTTGAACTTAGAAATTAAAATTATATATGAATCCTATGAACTTAGAAATAAGAATCAAAATGATACTTCATGATTGTTTAAAAAAATCCCTTGGAAAATCATTTCCAACATACAGAACACATCTCCAGTGATTTCAGCATGTTTAATTACCAAATATAAATTTCACACAGCATTCTACTGGGTAACAAGAAGTCAAAGCTAAAAATCAGTGCTAAAAACAAGGGAGGTCAAAGAGCTGCAGGTCATTTAAGAGAATTCAGTGGCCTCAGTGATAATAACTGCACAAGCAAGGATTGCTTGTGTGAGTTGGTCCAGCAGAAACAGGTTTGCATATTGCATGTATATTCAAAGTTTTTAAATAGGATATTGTCCTGGTTTCTGTTTTGAAACAGAAGTGAATGAAAAGCAGCCTGAACATTAGTGGTTTTTTTTTATGTAAAGGAGATTCAGGCCTTGCAATACACATCAGATTTAAACTTCACTCCCAGTTTAATTTCTTCTAAGCACAATTAGGATTTGTCATCCTGGTTTAGAGCTTCAGTGAAAAGATTCTTCCAGTCTCCAAAACCACCTGGAAAATGAAGACAAGTAAATTATTACCCTTGACTCTAAGGACCAAAGAGTACAATTTCAAACAAAATACTAACTTTTCTCTCTTATTAATATTTTTTAAAATATTTTTTCCTGTAAGAAAAAAAATCTGACCCAAGAATACACTCATATGTTTGCCTTGTTTGGTGTCCTCAACAGAATGTGAACACAAAGCGACCACAGGAAGCTACTGGTCTGCCTTCATAACTTTGACATGTGCTTTGTACAGCTGCAGAAGACTATACAAAGTGACCAGCAGCTGTGAAACCAATCCAGAAACTTCAAAGGTGAGGCTTTTAACCGTAAAAGCCTTGTGTGCTGCAACCAGACACTGCCCTAAACTGCAGTTTATTTCTAATCTAGATTTTGGAGAGCCCACAGTTGAAGGTTGTCTGAGGTTCCACCCTACCCTGATCCATGGCTAAAAGACACAGATCACTCTGTGGAGTGTGTGGATTCCAGGTGTTGATTGTTCAAGCAATACACAATAAGCAATCACAAGGGTTATTTAGAAAACCCAAGAAGAAAAATGTGTGGAGGCATTCTGTAGACCAAGTGCCAGCCTATCCCCAGTACTCACAGAAACCAAAATAAAATTCTTCTTTTAGTTGGTGGTTAGTGCCTATCTTGACCACAGGGTTTGCTATTTGTAGGGCACTTATGCTAATCATATTACACAAGATCCCCAGCCAACTGTAAAGAAGAGAAAAAAGCATCAATGTGACTTTCTTTTCATACTTTCTTCTCTCTGACTGATGAATTGCCTTCTGTTGCCTGTCAGTGCATACAAACAGAACAGCCTGTCCTTTCCATGGTACTGTTCTGTGCAACAGAACCACAGAGACTTCCTCTGAACTTCCGTAGGTAAACGGTTTCCACACATAAATATGAATCTCACTATGCGCTTCCCTTCTGTTACTATGTTGTCATGCAACCATCTCTTGAAAGACAAAGCCTGACATCAGTCTAAATCTAAAATGTGGGCTGCTTAATGAGGTGTTTGGCCTCATGTTCAGAAAGAGTTAACACAACAAACTGCCGTTTCATTAACACTTTGGATCTGTAGCATTTTCTCCATCACTAAGTGTCAGAATTTGACCCAATGCCATTGTCCAGCTGACATGCAACTCCCTCACCCTTGCCTGGAAGAGCAAAACACCCAGAAGCAAAGCATCTTTTGGACATTCTCCCCCTTCTGGCATTCAGCTGCCTCCTTTATCATGACGTATGACCATCAGTAAACTAATTACAGCACAGCTGTTTTCCCACTGGTCCCATCTATTTTTTTTTTTAATATATTTTCTTTCTGTTGCTTTTTCAGCTACAACCAGTAACTGTAACAATACCATTCTCTTTCACTAATCCTGAGAAGAACTCATTCCAGGAGCAGTAACTGGGGCTGCTTGGCACATTGCTGTGGAAACGGCAAAATGAAAGAAATAGCTGTATCTTTAGGGTTTCGAAACAACACTACTATCTGGAAGAGGAGAAAAGAGGTCAACAATTTTAGATCACTTATTTACTCTGGCAACCCAAATGAGTATCAACAAACATTCTGCAATCAGTAACATACTAGGGGCTATAAAATATTTTATTAGTTAAGACACAGAGAACAAAATTATAACATGGCCATAATAAAGACCTTGTTATAAATTCTAAGGTTTGACTATGTCATGAATCAACTGTAAAAAGAAGTAACTGGAAATACTGTAATATTGTCATTGAATACTATCCCATAACTAATTAAGACCTGGCAAATAGTAAGGAACCATTTGCCAACCCCCTGCTAGGAAAAGCTCCTTTGGAAAACCACAGCTGTTACAATCATCTCTGACTTTTTCAAAGTATGGCATTAGGAAAAAAATACCGATAATACATGGAAAAAACCTTCCTTCCTTAATCAATTATTTCCTGCATCTGTGGTGCATCTTGTAAGTGCTATGTATCTGCCACCACTCAGTGATCGAGTACCAGAAATACAGAAGTTTTAACCACGTGACTCTTTGCAAGGAGACAGCCAATGTCCCTGAGATACTGCTGCCACATTCATTCCCATCATAGTCATGCATAGAAAAGAGTAGCATAAAAAAGAAAATCACTCCATCAATTTCAGAGCACTGCAACAGCTCTACGTCTGCCCTTGCTTATGTTAACTACAGCACTCCTAAGGCTATTGTAAATTTTAGGGGTGCTAAGACAGCCTGGGCATCATCAGACTGCCACTGTCTCCAAGTAGCTCTCCCCCAGTGCCACCTGCTGAGGTGTAAGAAAAGGATATGGCCCCAAAATCAATCTTGCACACTCGTGCTGTGAGAGAGATGAGGCTTGTTCTTGAAAAAAGAAAAAAAGCCCACCTGAGCTTTGTTGTTGAAAACAGACTTGGGGAGGCAATAATAATTCAGATGTGTTACCAAAATTCTTGGAGGTGGAATCTATTTCATCCTCTTTAGAATCAAACAGAACCTTAAGTGAGAACAGGTTTATTACACGGGTGCAGCAACGATTTGTGAGAGTTGTCTGTGTGAAACAGCCCCTAATCAAAAGGCATTAGTCATCCAAGATTATCTTTTTTCTCCTCTCAGGAGAAATATCCTTACTTGCTGCATGACTTCATTTTAATAACTTGTGTGCGGGGGTGCAGGAAAGAGAAAACAACAGATTTTTAGAGGTTCGACAGTTTCTTTTCACTAAGTTGATGTTTACCTGGATCTCCACGTTCGATAAACTGTAGTTCTGTGCTTACAGGCATACTCTGAATAGTTATGAATATTAAATCACTTAAAATCTGGATAAGCCATTTCACGCCTGCACCAAGAAACCCAAAGAACAAAATAAAACATATCAGAGGTTTATATAAGATCTCAGAGCCTCCTCATTAAGTGGCTTAATTCAGCATAATAGTCATTGAATGTCAACACTAAAGCACTCAAATGATTATAAACAAAATAATGTTTTCCACTAACAAGATCCTTGATGGTTTCCTAACTGTGACCTTCCTGGCTCACTAATAGCCACTACTTGGAAAGCTCTGGGGGCAGAACTGATTCAACAATGCACTTTACATTTTTTTAACATATTCATAAAAACAATCAGGGACAGATAATAAAGGGAGCTTTCCTATCTTTGGGAAGGTTCTGGGTAGGAGAAGGAAGGAATGAGCAAGAAGCTTCACTCCTTCTGCTGAAGGAAGTGTTTGCCTCTCTCTGCTGCCCTGGGTCAAGGACCAAGTAGCATCACCTATTTGATGGCACTGCCAGTGCTTGTCCTCAGTTGTGCCTGTGACTGTCTCCATAAAGCACATGCCAGAACAGGTGCTAGAAGAGCTTTTACCCATGGGACACCTGCAACCTCCCCACCCCTCACCCTTCGGAAGGGATCTTGCAGTAAATCCTCCCCCACACCGCATCCCACTTCAGCCTAAGCCTGTGGCCAGCTCCTGGAGCTATGCCATGGAGCCAGCTTCCCCAAGGTTTCCATGAATCACATGTGCCCCACTGATGCTCTGATGATTGCTGGCAGGACAGTGCAAGGGAACAGTGTGCTCACCTTGGCCCGCAGCACTCTCCTCGTGTCCTTGTGGGCTTCCCATGGAGCTCACCGAGATGGAGCTGTCGAGCTGCTGCTGCCTCCTGCAGCGAGTCCCCTGTGAACACAGCTGCCAGATGCACTAACACGGAACACACAGTGCAAGCAGCCTTAATCTCATGCTTTCATTGGAAAGTTATTCCCAGAAAAGAATGAATTCCACCCTATCTTACATAAAGTGCCTCAGGATGCTTGGATGGAAGCAGCAGATACATGTAATTTATACAGTAATGTATGCACAATGTGTACACGTCATACAATGTCTTATAATACACATATCACATTTATAAACCACGCAATATCATATTTATATATGACATTGTATGATGCGTATAATTTAAATCACTCTCCCATTTATGTATGAATCAGACTCAAAATCACTGAGTTTCCAAATCTGTGCCAACATCTGCCCAGATGTGCACAAAACCATATTTTATTTTAATGACAACCCGCAACTGATAAACCTAAAATTCCTAATCTCTAAATCCTCTTACTGGTTTCTCATCCATCTCGCAAGTTCTGACTCCTAGAGCTCCACTGACCTTCACCCCTACCTCATAAATAGTTCTTTGCATCAGTTTTCCTCTCTACTACAGACACCTGTAGTAGAGAGGAAACCTTTAATATAATGAGACTTTACTGTAATTTAGCCTTCATAATAATAAGTAAAAGGCATGAGGGCAATATTAAAGCTTTAAGAAAAAAGCTTTTGAATGGTCTCTGCGTGAGTCCTTCATCAACCACGTTCATGCTGCCAAAGAGTTTGAGCTGAGCTCTGCACGGAAAACACCTAAGAAGCTGGCAGAGGAAGCCAAACTCCAGGCTCCTAGGTTCAAGAGGGAAAGAGGCCTGCAGAGACATTTTTATTATTACTGCCTGGTGACACTATGGCTTGGTGAGTCTGAGTGTCACATCAGTGAGCAAGAAGGAGCCTAGAAATTTCTGGTTTCAGACTGGGGCAGGTAATCTTTTCTCTTCATTCTTTACTCTTTTGTTTTGCCCTTTCCCCCCACAATTTGCAAGCTATTGGAAATTAGGGAAGAAATCTATTTAGCACAGTTTGAAAATGTAAAAGCAAATATCCAAATGGGAGAAAAATCCAAAATATTTACCTGCAGATTGTAACTACGCAGCACTGCACAAATGTATCATCTTCTCTCCCTCCTCCTTTCCTATTTCTTCTATGAAACCTCTCATACAGGCTTTTCTACCAGTGTCTGCCAGGTAAGAGTGTGCTGCATTCCTCAGAAAACTGGGGAGTTGTGTACTCTCTTTCCTACTGAATAACTGGCTGTGGTCTTCAGTAAAATTTTCCCCTGCTGACCTACCACAAACTGGCCAATATTAACAGCGTGAGATCTCTATCTGCTGATCCCTCTCCCTGAGCACAAGAGGTTTATAGAATTACCAAACCTCAGAGGCAATTAGCATCATGTCTGGAGTCTGTGAGAAATAAAAGCCAGTGCCAATACATGACAAGTGACCTTTCAGGCCTTATTAGGGTCCAGCAGAACTATGGTCCCAAGCCCAAAGGAATGATGGGCTCCTTAAAATAAAGATGCAGATTTCACATTTTGTGCCAGCTCCCTCCTTTTTTATTTGCCCTCTCTTAATTCAGTGTTCTATCTCACAGCTGCTATACATTCACCCTAAAAACTACAGGCATACTTTTTAAGCCTCTGATACACCACAGCTTCTTTCCAGATCAGAAGTCGCCAACCAGTGCAAGTTCTATGCGCTGAACGAGACCCTGACCTAGGACCCGCTCTGGTTAGAGCTGCATCTGCTACCAAGCTAATGCAATGAATTCCTTTCCAGGCCCATGTTTTCTCTAACAACCCTAGGCTTCTGCTGCTTGGGTTGATCCCATCCACTTAAAATCCTCAGAGGAGGAATTACTTTACTAAGAAATCCCTCAGAGTGAAAGCAATACTTGCAAGCTCAGACACCAGAGAAAAGAGATTTGGAAAATGAATCACCCTGTTAAGAATGAGCAAAAACATTGTATCTTATCTTATGAAACATTAAAGGGGGGAAAAAGCATCTTACAAAGAAAATAAAGTCCCTACTGAGAAAAATTTGAAGAGCTTTTATTTTGGCCATAAATTCAGTCCTATAATATGAGTTAAGAGCCATATGAATACTAAAAAACAATGAAAACAAAACTATTAAACAGAAAGAACACTACTGAGAGGGAAAGAACGCTGACATTTTAGGTTCTGAATACCTCTCTGTGGGAGCTTATCTGTACTAATGCCCTTTTCCATGTTAAAAACAATTAAATACTGAGATCTTGCAAGGCACTGGGGTTTTTTCACATCTCCATGATAAAACTAGGATCCCTTTTTAACGGCTGTGAGCCTGATGCATCTCATTGTGTCTTCACCTGGAAGGAACACACAAACAGACCAATGCTGGCTCCCAGAAGGATCTGAGCTGCTACTCTACCAGCTGATGATTCTGAAGTGCAGTGCTGCCGTGCAGGGATGCTCCCTCGCCCAACTGGGGCACCTGTTCAGGACCCTCGACATGTAGCAACAAGACCTGGCCCAGCCCCTTTGCTGTGGTGAGCACGTGTGTTACCTGAAACAGCGAAGTGGGGACAGCAGGTACCCCCAGGGCAGCAGGGAAAGGCAGTGGTGAGTGGGTGGGACCTGCTGCCAGCAGCCAGAATGTTGTCCCAGAACAGGTTCTTTCACCCTGTGGGCAAGAGGTCAATTTTATTTATTTACAATTCTATGCAGAAAGGGGTGCTGGGTGACAGAATCTGCAAGACCACTATCAAAACTTCTGACTATTTACACATTTTAGCAAACAAAAGCATTAATGTTTATTGGTTACAAGTTACCTAGTTCTCTTATTAATTAGTATTCTATTGCCTATTGATTAATGATTCTCTCATTTCTCATGCTAATTAGTCCACATTGATCTGAGATCACTGAGAGATGTTGAGCTCTAAATCTTAACAAGGCAATTCTACCAACAAGTAACTTGTCTTTCTAACACCTGGATGTTGAAAAATGTGGAATATGCAAAATTTTCTTAAGAAAGGATGTTCTTTGATGTTTGATCTTTGTATACTTTCAAGCCTTATAAAAAAGAAGGGAGATTCAATCCTGAAACAGAGAGCAGCTAACAAGTAAGCTCTAAGTGATGTCCATGTGTTCAAAAAACAAATTACCTGTTGGAAGAATTGCCTTGTTAAAGTTTGGGGCTTGACATGCTTCACTGGTCTCAGACTCAGAGGGAGGTTAACAAAGCTTGAGAAGAAGGATGCACCACTGATAAAGCACATAAATAATGCAGAATTTACAGGCCACAACATTTGGCAGAACTCTCAAGATGAGGAAAAAAACTAATAAAGGCCACTCAGCAACTGTGCTGAAATCAGCTCCAACTGGGCAAAAGGTAATTCCAGCAGGGGAAGATCGTGACCACCAACTCGCGTACCACCGACCCAAGAAACCCACCAACCCAAAAGAGAGACTGAGCATGTAGATTAGTTAGCGTGGGAAGCGAGAAAATCATCAACAAGTCGAAGATAAAATACTAGTTAATAGCAGAACTACGTAACTTGGAGCCAGTGTACACTAATTCTTGTGTTTGCTAAAATGTATAAATAGTAAAAAGCTTTGTTAGTCGGTGTGCTTAATTATTGGAATACTACCAGAGCACCCGGACTTGCGCAACTCTGACACAAATAATCAGTCTTTCTCGAGCGTGTAATTAGTGCCAAATTTTGCACACCGGGTAACGAATCCCATTTTTGCGGACAGCACGGACATCGCCTAGAGCTTTGTTAGGTGCTACCTGCTTCACGAAATTAACTCCATTTTCTTTTCGACTGGGCCTGAAAGCATACAAAGATCAAACACCAGGGGGACAACCTTTCCTCTCCCAAGAAAACCTTTACACATCCCACATTTTCCAACGCCCCGCCAGCAGCCGCCTCCCAGCGGCGCGGCCGCCATGTCGGGGCCGGGGCCGGGGGCGGCGCTACCGGCGGAAGGCGCCGAGCCCCGGCCATGGCGCGGCGCGTCGTGAAGGGGCTGCTGCTGCTGGAGATGGCGGGGCTGGTCGGCGCCCTGCTGCTCTACCGCGCCATGGACGGCAGCCAAGGTGCGGCGGGGCGGGCGGGGGGAGGAGGTCAGGGGAGGCTCCTCCACGCGGGGGCCGCCGCGGGAGCACCGCGCACCGCCCGGGCTTTGTAAGGAAAACCTGCCGGTCTGGGGTCAGGGTTCCGGCTCCTGTGGGTGCAGGCGCGCAGGACGGACCCCCGAGGGCAGGTCTCGAAGAACCAGCAGCTATTTTAAGGTTTTACAAAACCAAGCCCGCCGGGGAATCCTTGGGGAGGCAGCACGTCACCGCAGCACGAGCAAAGCCGAATCCTGCGCCTTCTTATAGTAACAATAAGGGCTCGAATAAGGACTTGAAAAGGACAAAGGGTGTCCGCAAACGAGGCAGGGGTCGATCGGTCCTGCTTCAGGCACTTGGTGCTGAGCCCATGAAGGGACGCCCTGGCTGTGTCTGGCTCTCCGGGATTTGACATTTCCCAGGCTGAGGACAGACCCGGCTGGCGTGAGCCAGCCAGCACTGTCTTCCAGATGATTTAGCTTCAGTCCCTCAGGTCTCTCAGACTTACACCACCATGCCTAGGGAGCACAGAAATAAGCTTAGTTACTGGAAGGATCTTTGCTCTGCAGAGCAATGGCCTTATTTTGCACTCAGGGCTCTGGAGGGTGCAGCAATAGCTTGACAGACCTGTGTCCCTGCAGGAAAAGTCAGCCTGTCCTGCTACCAAAAGGCACCTGTTGCTTCGGCCGGGTGGGCAAGAGTCCACCCATTTCAACAGTATTGTGGCCTTTATGCCAAGTTCAAGCTGAACTTCACGTATGCTACATCAGTTTGCATTTGTTTTCCAACATTTAGATGCCATCTGGCTGTTTCGCTATTTTTCTTTTGCGTTTTTATTAAATATATAACAAACCCATGGAGAACAGATGTTTTCAACCTGTCGTGGTAACTTGGTACTGAGCATTCGCAGTTCTTTTTTCCCCCCTCCTTTTCAGTTCTAGATCCTTGTTTTTATATGCATAGCTAGATTTTCTTAAATTGCAGTTCTATAAGGTGTAGTGAGCTCATCTAACAGCTCAGTGAGCTCAGAGTGAGGCTTTCACTGCTTTCTTTGCTCTAGCACTAGAATGGATAACATCCTTCTGGGAGCTGCTGTAAATCCTTACAATAGCATAAAGCTATCATGATTTTCTAGTGAGCTGACAGAGCAGCCCACAGAAGGATTTACTGAACACCTATACCTGCATAAGGAACTGAAGCAGTTTTCCCAGTTTTTATTTGCATGTCTATCTATGAGAGGCATTCAGCTTTCTGTGTATCTGTAACTTGTATTTGGCTATCACAATTGTGAGGAAGCTCAGAAAACAGTGATGATAGGGCTGCATGTACAAGTAACCTCAACACAGTCTGTGAAGCGATTTTAAAAAAAATTCAGATCATGGTGGCTGTAACTAAAGAGCTCAAATTTAGATGAAACGAATCTAGTTAGAAAAATAGTGCATTTAATTACCTTAAAATATGTTGGGAAAGCAACTGATTTACCTTTCTTGTCAGATTTCAGATACACAATGCAGAAGAGGTTTCCATCAATTCTGGAAGGTAGGTTTGCAGCTGGTTGGCTTCAGAAGGATGGCTGAAGCTTCTGTTGCATCTTAATGTATAAAACCAGTGTTATTACTGCCTAAAACTGACTCCAGGAGACACTTGCAGAAGTGTTTACTGCCTTTCATAGGCATGGCTGGAGTGTCAGGCTGTTGGATAGAGACCCTGGAAATGGAGGAGTGTATATCCAATAAAACTAATCATAAAGTGGCTCTTCTTCACATATGTCTAACTTAGAGCTGATGTGGATTTTCCTATTTTTCAGTTTATTACAAATCCAACGAGTGGTCTGGAATTCATGGCATACGAGAGAATGACCAAATGACATGGTTAAGCAGCAAGAACTGAAGTAAGAAAAATGTGGGATTAATTTAAAAAATATTTTTGAATAATTATTTTTAAAATGTCTGCATCAAAATGTCCAGTTCATCTTCTTGATTTCTTGCCTTTGTACTTGTTTTTCAGCCCTCTGTGCCTGAACTGTTTCTTCCTCTTGATGATGCTTTTCACGTCCCTGTTGTGAAGCCACTTGTCACGCTCTATTTCCCACTGGATCTGTTTGACATCTGTAGGAGAGAAAGTGAGAAATAAGGAGCCGATGGATACCTCTTACCAAGATGTGGCATACAGATAAATCATGTAGAAGTTAAAACGTAGCTACTGTATTTATTAACGTTTAAATAAAGTGCAAGTGAACTTTTTTTTTTTGAGAAAATGTTGGGGTTTTTCACTTCACAAAACAAATCCTACCATCTCAAAGCCCTAGACATTGATTTGTATTTTACTAATGCTAGAAATGCTTGTGTTAGGAGTAGCTGAAGAAAACTACGTCATGCCTTACTGATGCTGAGCTACTGTCACAACTGTGTGGTTTCTGGCTGTGTATTTCAGTTGAAAGTGGTGCATCTTTTCAAGTACAGAATCTGAAGGGAAAGAAGTAAAGCAGCATCACAACTACCTGCTGTTTGTAGCATGCACTTACTTGCATTATCTCTGTTGGCCATGGCATTCATTCCAATATTGTCAAACTTGGACCCGGCGTTTTCATCCAGCAGATAGCCGAACTTTAAAGAGAGAAATTTTAGTAGTTTATTACAAAGGTAACGAGTAAAATGCTTGACCAATTTTTGCTAAGCACCAATCACACTCACCTCTTCTGCAGATGCCAGTATACCAGCATCTTGGCGTTTTTTCTTCTTTACTCGGTTAGATCCTTTAAACAAAATACATTACGAGACAGAATTTCAAGTTCACAGAGACACTAAAACAAAGTGTTACCATGTCTTTAATTTTTAAAACCTATTTAATGAGACCATCTAAAATAGCTTTGTTAGAAACCTTTACTCTCCACCTCCCCTCAAAAAAAAGGGAAAAAAGTTTCTGAGAACTAAATAGCACAAGTCCGTGCATCAGATGTGAGTAACAGATGCGCAAGCCACCAATACGACTCCATCCTTCTTCAGAAGTTCCTCCTTTAACTCCCTTCCTTCAACAGCAGATTGTCACTCTGAATTAGCCATGCTGCCTTGAGGACAACCTCCTTTTTATTTAAGGTTTATTCAAATCTGAATCCAGATCCAAAACTGTAATAATCTACTGGAGCAAAACCCTCAAATTCTGCAATTTTTTAGACTCTGTATTTGAATTAAGATTTATCAGATGGAAATTATGGCAGTGTTTTCTTACCTTCCAGTGATCCCTCAAAATTCACATCCTTCTTTCTCTTGCCCTTTTTACTAACAGACTTCAATTGCTTGTTCTTGTTTGGATCTGATAGAAAAAAAGAAAAAAAGATACATCAACCTCTGATTCTCACACCACATACATGTATTTACAGCACAGCAGAGGCTAAAATTTCTTTTTAGACATATTTGTCATAATGGTCCAAGTCTTGTACTTTAAAAAACAGCACACACAACCAAATCTGGATTTCCTCAACACAGACAATTAAAAATTGGTCAGTACTGTGCCATCCTTTCTGCTTTTTTCCCACAGCACCAAAACAGAATGATACTAAGATACATAAAATACAAAGGCTAAAAGCAGGCATTATGTAAACCCTGGATGTCTGCTTGGTAATTCTGGTGAAGTAATAATCTCATGAAAGATTAATCTGTTAACAGCTATATGAACAGTTTATCTCCTCTACCCTGAATCATCTTCCTGTGGCCTTTAGTTATTCACTGAAATATTCCATTAATCTGTGCTTTTCCAGCCACATACATTATATTCTGTGTAAACTGTGCTTTATGTTTGAAAGAAACAAAACCATGCAGGTGCAAGAATCAGTTATCATTATAGTGGTAATAAAAATTTGGGTGCATAGCTGTATTAGGGGAGTAAGCTGTTACTTGTGAGACAGCAATTTACATAAAAGTTACCTCATCTAAAAAAAATCAACATTAAGATTCTGAAGAAATATGAAAATTGCTAAGTACCAGATTCTTTTATTTTTCTCTTTGAGATCTTTTAATATTTCTGCCTACTGTAGCCAGTTATTTGTGTAGAAAGCTACTTTTGTTACTGACAGTGTTCTCAGAATGAAAGAAACGTCTCATTTGCAAGTTTTTATACAGAGATGCCTAAATCCCACTCTTGCCTAGGAGACTGCCAGGAAATATTTCTCTTAAGACTTCACTGTCTAGAAAAGGACCTGTCATTTCTTTGCTTAAAATCCAAACTCCCCACCTAGGTAACTAAATCAGAATTTACATGTGTAATTATGTATTAGATAATGTTTTTATGGCTTTTTTTCCCTGTTTTTTTCTAATAAATCGTACTTTACCTAGGTTGTTATCATCATCAGAAACATCCATAAATACACCTCCCTCTTCATCCATATCCTCTTCAAAGTCTTCCTCCATACTTCCTAAGGAGACTTCCTCATCATCCAGATCACTGAATTCATCTTCATCATCAGAATCCTCCCAGTCAGCACCAGATTCTTCACTGCTTTTGCCTTTCTTACTGCCTTTGGTTTTCTTTGTTATATTACTAAAGAAAGATGTAACAAGCTTAGCACTTCATCCAGCAAAATACTGTTGAGATCCAGGTGACATCTACCTACTGGCAAACACCATGTTAGAAAAGTTCAACATCACTGCAAACTACTGTAAATGTAGGCTGAGACCTAAGATACATGCATTATGCACTCAGGTATGTTTTCAACATTAGTATAGAGAACTGTATTATAAAAGTCAACCATTTCAAGAAGTTCTGGAGAGAATCCTATTGTGAAATTAGCAGAAATGTCAACTTCACTATTTTATCTTTGCTCCTTTTCAGAAAGTCTTTTTTGTCAGACACACAAACTGCTCTGCTGAACAGCAGTCTAGATCATAAAAATTTTCCGGTTTCACTAGGAGTTTAGACTTCAATTCTCCTGTTACCCCAAGGAAAAGTTTCTGTGCCAATTCAAAAACTGTATTGTAGATACTTCG